AAGCCGCATGGACAGCTGATAATAGAATGAGTCGGAAAACCGCACAACAACGCGAACTGTCCAGGAAGGCGAAAATTGATCCCCTCAAAAGTGATCGCTATAAAATAATCAGTCGACTAGGAGATGGTGGATTTTGTGAAGTATTCAAAGCGAAGGATATACAAACAGGACGATTTGTTGCTATCAAAAGAGTGGATCGAGCAAAACCAACTTATCAAAAATATTCTCCAAAGGAGGTGGAAAAAAAGATAAAGAAACTGATGTATCGAGAAGCATCCATTATGCGCGCTTTGGAGCATCCTAATTTGGTGAAATTATACGATTTGGTCGATGAGAGTGATCAAATTTATCTGGTAATGGAATTGGCCGAGGGTGGAGAACTATTCGATCGCATAATCAAACGAGGAAAATTTAGCGAACGTGACGCGGCCATCATTATTTCCCAGATGCTTTCCGGAGTTCGATATATGCATGCGGCCGGCTATGTTCATCGTGATATCAAACCGGAGAATATACTGTTCGAACGTCAGACAGACGATTCTAAACTACTGATCACAGACTTTGGTCTGTCTAGAGAAGTTCAACCAAAAATGATGACCAATTGCGGTACAGTTGACTATTCCGCACCTGAACTATTGAAAAGTAAACTGACCAAATCGGGCTATGGACCGGAAGTGGATAATTGGAGTATTGGAGTTGTCTCATACATCTTACTGTGCGGCTATCCTCCGTTTTATTCAGTCAATCAAGATGACAATGAGATCAAGAAACAAATCATGTCTGGCAGTTATCATTTCCATCATCCACACTGGGATCATATATCAAAATCAGCAAAAAATTTTATTGCCTCCCTGTTGAAACCGGATCCGGAAGAACGAGCAACCCTGGATCAGTCGTTAGAACATCCGTGGATTCGGTTGGAAACAAGTTCGACCATGGACATCTATCCGATGATCGAATCCAGTATGCGAGATACACTCGCGCGACAACGGTGGCGTTGTTTGGGCCTGGCAGCAAATGCTGTGAACTTGTTTACTCTCGCTAGTCCCACTATGGTCAATCGTTGTTTCTCGGTAAAAGATGCACCTGGTGCTGAGGAAGTTTGAATGCATAAATTTTTTTCTCTTGCTCAAATCCCCGCTGGAATGTGGATTCGAACCAGCCACGTGCAATTATGTATTGTGGGGATATTTCTATTTTACAGATCATTTCTATTGGACACAATTTGTGCAAATGCCACGGGGATGAGATTTGTGACTTTGGACCTTGTTTAAATTTGAATTATTTTGCGTTCACTGTCCAGCATCATCTCATTTACTTTATCCATTTCGCACAAACTGCGCTGAGCCTGACTCCAGACGAATTGGGATCGTCCGATGTGACTGACTCCCAATCTCACATTTCGGTGAAATTATAATTCATTGGGTGAGTTTATGACTGGAGATTTTTTCCCGTACAACAAATATCAAATGGAAACAATCGATGCAGATGTCTTTGAGTGGGAAAACACTAGTAGTTTCGGTTTGGTCTCGGCACTGTTTGTCTTGTAACTTGAGTCATATATGTGTACCGCACACACCGCTGTCTACGCAGCATTGCACGAATTTGGTGGGGCAATCGAACCAGCCATATTGAGGTTAGGCGCAGAGTTTTAGGCAAATGCGGTCGTCCACTGGAGCAAATGGTCGACCTCCTTAAATTACGTTGGTCGGGCCATGTGTTACGCATGTCACATGGGTTACCAGGGCGAACGATGTTCGCGGGGTGGAATAAAGCCAAGGGTGGTCAAGCTAAGACCTGGTGTAGGGGTATGAAAACCTTAACCAGGAGTCTGGGTCACATAGGTGGTGTTAGGCTCCTTGGATGGGGACCTCGGGATCAGCGTCGTCAATGGTGAGAGACACTGAGTCAATTTCTTTGCAACATTAGTTCACTGAGATTCTCAATTTTCTCTTCGGTTCCAATTTTAACCTTCCTGTTTTTTCCTATTCTTCATCCTAATCGGCAGTTAAAAAACAAAAAACAAAATCAGCGCACAAAAATGCATGGTTGACGGTTGTACAAACTTAAACTAAAACACTAAAAATGCATTCCTGGCTGTCTGGTAAATTTCAGCCTTGATTATGCCTAAGTCGAGAGAAAATAATCTTCGATTGTGAAGGAGATCGGTGAGATTTTCGAAACATTTTAGTTACTAGGCTTTGCTATCCAAAAATAATATTTCACACAACTAAACATTTTTCGTTACTGTTGAATCGCACATAAAAATAAGCTCATCTTTGCACTTACCCAATCGAATTGATAAAGAATGTACTTTTAGATTCGGCCTCACCACGCAACCTGTGGATGGGACAATGTGTTTTTTTATTTATCCGACGTTTGCCACTCCACTTGATGCGCAGTTGAATAATTCCAGCTTAGTATGTATAATACTTTCTTTCAGAAAAGGTTAGTATATATATATATTTGATGTTCAGCTGTTCGCCGAGCTTGGCGAACAACTGAACATCAGATTATACCACCCGAGCTACAAAAACAACCATCAACACCGTTGTTTACAAAACTGTCATATATATATGTAATTGCATGATACCCTAAACAATGTTATGCCAGGGATAACGTTTACCGGCGAGGAGGAAAACGACATGAAGCTCCCTTTCTTAGACGTCCTTGTCATAAGAAAACCAGATGGAAACACAGAAACCACTGTGTACAGAAAACCCACAACGACAGACCAGGTGCTGAACTATGACAGCAATCACCCCACGTGTCACCTCAGGAGCTGTGTATACACTTTATTCCGCCGTGTAGACACATTGTAGCACAAAGGAACTTCGGAATCAAGAACGAATGCAGTTGTTCCATCAATTGCACACAAATGGATACCCCAAAAGTTTCGTCCAATCATGCCTTAGAGGAAGAAGAAAACGAAACTCTTATTACCATACATACTTGGGGTAGCAGAAGCCGTTGATCGCATCCTTCGCCCTCCGGGTGTCACCATTGCCCACAA